GGCGTGATAAAATTCAGTTTTGGACGAAATTCGAATATAAAGTCGGCATACGAAAGCAATTCGCTGGCTTTGAAATATCAGAAAGGATATCAAGAGTTTGGTTCTAAAACCTGCTGCAGATACAAAAACATCGATGATAATGATGTTTTGGTTTTGTGAAATGCTCGGAAGTTTGTTTAGGAAAGCAGTGATGAGTTTTTTTTTTTTTTTTTCGTTTACAATGCTATGCGAACTTTGCAAAATGCATTAAACAATCTTATTTAAACGTTATGTCGTATGTAATTAGGTCTAATGTTAATTGTCTAATATGTTCTGGAGTTATAGGAAATATAGTATACTAGCTGGCTCGGCAAACGTTGTTTTGCCATATAAATTATTTCTAGGAAATATAAATAACCTAGATACCCTGTCTATTTCTGCCGTGAAGCAGTAATGCGGTTCGGTTTGAAGGGCGGGGCAGCCGTTGTAACTATACTTAGACCTTAGAACTTGTGTCTCAAGGTGGGTGTCGCATTTACGTTGTAGATGTCTATGGGCTCCAGTTACCACTTAACACCAGGTGGGCTGTGAGCTCGTCTACCTATTTAAAGATATCAATAATAATAAAATCTTAACCATTCTCGAATCTCTGAAGGTACACGAAAATGTCATTAAAATCGGGTCCAGCCGTTTAGGAGGAGTTTAGTGACAAACCCACGCACAGAAGAAATATATACATATATTATAGTATAGCATATAGGTGTATATATAGGTAGTATATGGGATACACATCTAGTCAGTGCGATATCTATTCCTCGGCCTTGCCGGTGAGCAAGAAGATCTCGGGAGATTCACAAGCTTGGTACTTTGCCTCTTTTCTTATCTTCTTTTTAATACTCTTGTAGGCAGACGCGTATACAGCCCTGATGGCGAGCGGTTATCGTCGCTCACGCAGGAGACAATGGCAGGGGCACACCTAAGCTGTCTCCCTCTGAATACTATCCTCGTTTGAGGAAAGAAATGTCGCAGCACTTGGGATACACCATGGTGTACTTCCATGGAAGGTAGTTCATTCCAAAGCCGAATGGTAAGTTGCCAAAAAGGTATATGAAAAGGAATAGTTGATAAATGCGGAGGTATTAGGTGGTATGGAGGAACTCTGCTCCGCTGACGGGCGGTGCGATGGTAAAAACCAGATGATAGGATCATCTCAAACACTTGACTGGTAGTAGGACGTTATGTGAGTCCGCACGGGTAGGTACCACCACCCTGCTTATTTCTATCGTGAATGCGTTTCGATTTGAAGGGCAGGGCAGCCGTTGTGCTGTAAAAACTGAGACCTTAGAACTTATATCTCAAGGTGAGTGGCAGCATTTACGTTGTAGATGTCTATGGGCTCTAGTAACCACTTAACTACCTAAACAAAACAAAAACCTCAGATCAATGCCAATGGAACATACGGTACAAAACACATACAGAACCAAAGTCGTTCTGTTGATCCAGAAGATACAAAAGGTCTCGTAAAATGGATCTACGATATCCACTATACGATGGATCCAGCATGCAGAGGTAGACTTGTTGATTTCAACCTTTAATTACGATCTATGAACTATTATCACATTAGATTCTACTAACAGCAACTCTCTATGCAACTCTACTTTTTTTTTTTAATTATGAAATTTGCTTGTTCGAATAACGTTGAGTTCAATCTCACACGTCTATTTTGACCCCCTTCAAAACGTCGGATTAACTCTAAATTTGGTATACTTATTAAGGACCGATGACAATAAAAAAAAATTGAAAGAAAAAAAACTTGAAAAATTTAAAATCCAACTAAAAAATAGAAAATAAATCTTAATAAATTTGAAACAGTGTAAGAAAAAATGATTTTATTGTAAAAAAAGCGTGGGGTGCATGGTATCAGTAGTTATAAATATTTTATGAACAGATATGAGTAGAAGGGTTATTTTGATAATATCCTGAAAAGCACCCCATGCTTTTTTACAATAAAATCAAATTTATTAAAATTTATTTTCTATTTTTTGGTTGGATTTTCTATAAAAGCGTATTTTGTTAGTTTTTTTTAAACTAATTATTCATGTGTTGGCTTACGACGATAACAAAAAATCTGCCGCGAAACACCGCTCTTGCCCACAAGCGAGATTAGACGTTCTAATGCTAAGTAAACATGATTTAAATAATTAATTTATAATCCCGACATGAATAATGATTTATACAATTTGTAATCCAGACGTGAATGAAATATTTCCAGTAAACACATTCAAGAGCACTGCACTAATGTTCTTTGTATTTAATCTGTTTCTTGTTTAATAACATTTAAATACTATGTATTAAAGCTGCTACGATAATTATGTATGTGGTTAGCATTTTACGGAAGGTATCTCTGTCTTGCTACCTTCAATGTATGTGTAATTGGAATGACCTTTTTTTATGTGAAACATCTATAGCCGCACGTAAAACCGATTTCTGGCGTGGCGACGCATGCCCTGGCGACGCGTCGCCATGCGCAATCGACTGTGAGATTCTCTCCCACTCGATCCGGCGTTAAGCCATCTCTCTCGCTACACTGAGCTCGGATACCTATAGTGTATACTCCGTAGTGTATACAGTGTTGATTACTACAGTACACATAACCTGTGTTTTACTTGAAAACAAATTATTTTTATCGTAATATTTTATTTTATCATTATGACATATTTAGTTCCTATCACAATCTGTTCTTTTCTGCATATTACTTTTACAAAATAATGTCGATGTTTCACATCTGCCAGGCGGCCCGTGACGGCTCACATTTTTTTTGTTTTCGAAGAGAATATGTTCTGAATAAATAATAAAAATCTACTTCCATGGTGAAGGAATAGCAACATGTATTAAAATTTTAATGAATTTGCATGATTATGGTGCCAAGGTAATGATGAGCACGCACGGGAAAGTATCCGCCAGGTCGCCTATGACTGCGGAGAAGCTGTCATATGCTCCTATTTGAAAGCTGGAGCCTTTTACAATTAGGCCTTCGACAATGTCTCAGGATGTGTGATGGAACTCACGTTGTGACTATCTGGCTGATTGGCTCCGGTACCTATTTTAAATGAATAAATAAACTGGCAAAAGCCACAGCGATATTTGAAGGTGTTTATTTGGCGTCTTGTAGAGTCCATCTCTGACTGAATTTTTGGCATATTTTGCTTCTTTTTATGCCATGCGAATTCCAGTAACAATTTTGGCCATTCGCCAGGACAGGTTTTTTACTGGTGGTAGGACCACTTGTGAGTCCGCACGGGTAGGTACCACCACCCTGCCTATTTCTGCCGTGAAGCAGTAATGCGTTTTGGTTTGAAGGGTGGGGCAGCCGTTGTAACTATACTGAGACTTTAGAACTTGTATCTCAAGGTGGGTGGCGCGTCTACGTTGTAGATGTCTATGGGCTCCAGTAACCACTTAACACCAGGTAGGCTGTGAGCTCGTCCACCCATCTAAGCAATAAAAAAAATAAAAAAAAGGTAGGTGAGCACGGGCTCAGCCAGGAGGAGTGGGATTTGTTAGCTTCCCGAGTGCCTCCGAAGGAGACTTAACAGCTCAAGGGCATCTGCTACGCGAATGTATCTACTACCGGATCGGAATCGCGACCTGATGAGAAGATCCGGCGAATAGCACAACTGGCTGATGTGTGGGTTGGTTTGCACGTGGAATTAATTTGCGATTTCGTCGAGTATGGTTACTAGGGACCCTAAGCCTTGACCTAGTACTAGAGATACAGGAGTCTAATGACGGTGCTGGGATCGGGTGAATCCTAACCGTAGTACGTATATAATGGCTCAGCAGTGTATAGCTGCTTGGCTGTGCCCATGGCATCGCTGAGGTTCGTGAGCGTCGGGAACTTACAGCTCGCTAGGCCTGCAGTAGCAAAAAAAACAGACACCAGTTATAAAACAATTTAAAATTTTTATCACAAGGTATGTCATTTCATCATTCCCGCCCTCCTCCCAGTCACCTGGGGTCGGCGCAACATGTTTTCTCCTTCCATACTCCTCTATCATATACATTTCTTCGCTCACTCCCCTCTTACTCTTACACATATCGTCTTTCACGCAATCCATCCATTTCATCTTAGATCTACCTCTTCCTCCATAGCCTTCCACATTCATAGTTAACACCCTCTTACCAACCTCATTGTCATTTCGTTTCATCACATGTCCATACCATCTCAAACGCGCATTCCCAACTACTCTGTCACAAGTGCCACTTTCAGACTTCCTCTAACATATTCATTTCGGTATAATCAAGGTATATCAATTGAATTTAAACAAAAATGAATGGGTTTATATTGAAATGATTAAAACAAAATAATGACCTTTACAATACCCATCAATACACGCGGTGTGATCTGTTTTAATCTATGTTTAGCTCGTGGCTGATTTTAGCCACGTATGACGGATCGTTTGGAACCTCTGGGTCTGCGGAGGGATTTCGGTTCCCTCTGTATTTTATACGGTTTGTTCCATGAGGAGTGATCTGAGGAATTGTTTGAGATGATCCCCTCATCTCCTTTTTATCATCGCGCCTCCCGCCATCGGAGCAGAGTTCAACCGTATTATCTGGAACCGCTACGTTCATCGACAGTGCGTTTCCAGAGGTTTTTTTTGCCACGTACCATCCGGCTATGGAATGAGCTCCCCTCCACGGTGTTTCCCGAGCGCTATGACATGTCCTTCTTCAAACGAGGCTTGTGGAGCGTATTAAGCGGTAGGCAGCGGCTTGGCTCTACCCCTGGCATTGCTGAAGTCTATGGGCGACGGTAACCTCTCACCATCAGGTGAGCCATATGCTCGTCTGCCTACAAGGGCAATAAAAAAACGTCGCTTGTAATGAAGTTGCGCTCAGCCGCGATTTGCGTGGCTTGCGTAATGTTTTTGAAGAACTTTACGTCTGCTTAACCGCACAGTCGTGTTGTCTTACGAAACTCTGCGCGTAGCCGCCGATAAATACGCGGGAGTATTTCGCGCGCGATCCAGTTGAACTGCGCATGCGTGCTTACCGCCATAACTGTCAGTGTCACAAATGTTTTTTTTTTTTGTAAATAAAACCTCATAGTCCCAGTGTTTTCTATCAAAATGTTCTTCAACGCGATATTATTGGGTGCGTTAGTGTACGCGAGTGCCGATAATGCTTTACGTAAGTTCTTTTTTCTTTTTATCTTTTAACTTTACTTTCTCCTTGCGCAAAACCGCGTTCATTGCGTAGTCGAAACAGATTTGTGCTCAAATATAATTGTCTAGTATATCGACCTAGCGTAGTAATTATTGTGCTTATTATTCCTTAGGGGTAAACGAGCTCACGGTCCCCTAGGTAATAAGTGGTTACAGGAGCCCATAGACGTGACAACCTGAATGTGGCTATCCACCCTAAGACATCCTAAGACACGACCAGGCTACCTACCGGAATGTGGTACAGTCTACTTTACTGCAGAAGCAGACTCCCACCAGGAGACACCAGAGAAGCTCACATATTTAGTACACATGCTTTTTATTATACTTATAATAAAAATTGGCACAAGCTATTTGTACATACAAATAAATGATATTGAAATGTTTAATGTGTCAACTTATTAATAGTTTTCTTTTTTAAATAACATCAAAGAATAGGAATATTTACGGTAAATGAGTCGTCTATTATCAAAGGTGGCAATCTGTACATTTGGACAAAATTTTTTTATTGATATGTCAATACAGATTTATTTGAATATAATCGTCTCCTTCAAAGAATACGGTTCAAAACCTGCATTAAATAAAGGTTAATAGTTAACCTGTTATTTATCTAAGATCTCGTTCCGAAGAGTTTTGTGACTGCCAATGGAATACAAAGTCAATAATTCGTTTTTCTGATTTACCAATCATTGTCCAAAAGTCAGATTGCCGCCTTTGATAATAGTCGACTCAAATATAACAATCTACTGTTTGTTTTTTAATTGTGTCCGTGATCCGATTGTTGTGGGTGGTTCAATGTTTTGAAAGGGACGGACCGATTTTGACGGGACTAACAGGAAGATAGCTGCTGCTATAATATGTAATAACATACATATTTTTATTAGTGGTAGGACCTCTTGTGAGTCCTACCACCAGTAATTACCCAAATTATAATTTTGCTGGTTTGATTTTTATTACACGATGCTATTCCTTCACCGTGGAAGCTTTTTTTTTTATTGCTAGATGGATGGACGAACTCACAGCCCACCTGGTGTTAAGTGGTTACTGGAGCCCATAGACATCTACAACGTAAACGCGCCACCCACCTCGAGATACAAGTTCTAAGGTCTCAAGTATAGTTACAACGGCTACCCCACCCTTCGAACCAAAACGCATTGCTGCTTCACGGCGGAAATAGGCGGGGTGGTGGTAGAAAAATTGGTACCCGTGAGATTCGAACACCGGTGCATCGCTCAACACGAAGGCACCGGACGTCTTATCCGTTAGGCCACGACGACTTCAGTAGATTAATATTGCTTATCTTTATTAATATTTGTCTACAGTGTAGTCTTGGCGAAATCTGTGATTATAGAAGTATGAGTCTTAGACAATAGAACCTTAATAATGTTCAAAGTTATGTATAATTTCAATTAATTATAGTCGAATTTCGACTACAGAGGGACCACTAGTTATTTTAAATCATTTAAATTAAATTTAGATTAAATCATTTTGATTCTTAAATTTTACCAAAAGTGCCAAAATTAGAATTCACAATTAAACAGATAATTATGAATTAATATTATAGAATTAATTAATTGTATTAAGAAATCGTGATAAGACTTAAAACAAAATTCACTTTTAAAATTTTGCCGTTCTACAAAATTTGCCGCGCTGGGCACTTGCCCCTAGTGTAAATCCACCACCGCATATAAGTTCAATACATAAAGACGTAACTGCGGCCGCTTCTTTTTCCTACCTATTGTAGTAGGTTCGAGGGGTTACTCTAGATTCACCGAGCTAGTAGGTGAGCTCACGGGGCTCAAACCTGACGATGTTGCTAACACGAACCCTAGCAAGAGCCGTGTTTCGCAGAATCTACCACCGGATCGAAAACAAGACCCACTGAGAAGATCCGGCGAGAAACTCTGTAGGCTGTGCGCAATTTTGAGACCTTGCAGTCGAAGTCTCTTCTTCGATGCAAAAACAAGTGTAATTCAATGAAGGTTCATTTTGCGAGTCACAGATAAGTCGGGTCAAGGTTCGGAATCGTAACAGAATTCACATTACTGTATTACGAGCTACTACTAAACATTGACACAGTATAGATAAATACAGTATGTATGTTAGATATTATGTTACATGTAAATCTTCTTCTTCTTATCCCACTAGGCGGGGTCGACACAGCTAATTTTTCTTTTCCTAACACTCACTCCTCTCTCTGTTTTATCGTCATTGACACACTCCATCAATGTCTTCTTCGGTCAACCCCTTCCCCCTCTACTTTGCACTACCATTTCCATACATCTCCTAGTCACATGCATCTTCTCTCTACGCATCACATATCCACACCACGCTAACCATCCGCTCTTTAATTTGTTGATTACCGGGGCTACTTTCACACTACCTCTGATATTCATTCCTTATCTTGTCCATTCTTGTCACTCCATACATCCATTAGACACATTGTGTTACATGTAAATATTACCTATAATAGAAGAATATTCCGGTAGGCAATGGCTTGGCTCTGCCTTTGGCATCGCTAATCAGGTGGGTCGTATGTTAGTCTAATTAAAAGGGCAATAAAAAATATTTGTGCTATGTATGTTATCTACAAATGTGAAATCTATTTATCGCGAGGGGAAAGGCTATTTGTATTAAGCGACATTTCAATTTTTTTTGTTTTTCCTACCTTAGCTGATAGCCTTGAGAAGCTATATCAGCGTAACCTTAACTAGTAGGTGAGCTCACGGGGCTCATACCTGACGACGTTGCTAACACGAACCCTAGCAAGAGCCGTGCTTCGCAGAATCTACCACCGGATCGGAAACTCGACCCACTGAAAAGATCCGGCGAGAAACTCAGTGGGCTGTGTCTGTGGGTTAATTTACTCGTCGAGCCCTTCGTCACAAGCGACGGGTTCGACGAGAACGATGACCAGTGCTTGAGGTACCTAAAAGCACCGTTAGCGCATCGGGAGGATCCGAAATGACGTGTTTGGGGCGACGTCGACTGCTTTCCATTCTTTCCGCAGGATCGGGAATGAGTTTCTATTAATTAGCAACATTTATCTTTGTAATTAAAGGTCCGTTTTATTTGCCAATAGCATCTACAATTCGATGTTTTTATTTGAAGTTCAATTAAGTTTGCTTCATTGAAATAGCTCAACAAGATTTTTATGTTATGATATTTTTTCGAAAATTTATACTTTAAATAGCTCTCCTGTGAAATTGCAAAAATATCAGTTAAACCAAATGATCATTCACCCCTCAATATGATCAATTTTTTTTTCAGTAAAGCCTTTCATGGCCTTCACAGCACCACTCTTGGTTATCTGGTCGATAAAACATTAGGCATAATTCACATAATGTACCCATGCTATAGGCATAACACGCAATGATTAGCTTGTCTCAGAATATCGTCCCTTATAATTACACCGATTTACACCTGATGTCTTACACACATTGGGCCATGGATCCATTTATGTAAAACAATACGCTATAAATATTATTGTTCGAATTCATTATCATATTTTTGTACCTACGCCGACAGGGCAATTTTCTTCTATTCGGTAAGGTTAGGCTGCCATGAGTGGCCTCTTATTGATACTGTGTATGAATGTAGAGAAGGCTTTACTGACTGGTCATGAACATCAACAATACCAGAGGCACTTTTCAATGTCTGTTTACCACTAACAACAAATGAGGTTTTCATTTTGTCATATTTAAGCCATTACGAACCACTGCGCAGAGAGGTTTAGTCCAGAATCAGATGATACGTCAGGAAATGTTCTTCTAAAACGCTCTGTGGATTAAACTCAGCAGTTCTAAACGTTAGCCAAGGACTCCTACTTATTTATTACTTTGAAATACCAAAAACTGTGTCCAAAACCTTAAAAAAGAAGCAACAAATTTTGATGACGTATGACATTTGTAGATTTAAAAATCTTCGTATTTCATTCGTATTCTAGTTAATTCATTAAGCAAATCTCAAATTAGTAAGCTTTAGTTTCAAGTACGCAGAAGGAAGAAATACCAGGCGAGGGTCTAAATATCCAGTCGACCTGACGCCCTCAAGCAAGTTAAAGTCCGGACTGGGTTGGAGTCGCACATAAATACTTATAATACTACCCCAGTTACGAAGAAACCACAAGAAAAAAAAAAAACATAACCAAAGGATAATCAGTGATGAAAATTAATAAAAGAACTCAATTTTTTTTTATTGCCCTTGTAGGCAGACGAGCATACGGCACACCTGATGGTGAGTGGTTACCGTCGCCCATGGACTTCAGCAATGCCAGGGGCAGAGACAAGCCGCTGCCTACCGCTTAATACTCTCCACAAGCCTCTTTTCAAGAAGAACATGTCATAGCGCTCGGGAAACACCGTGGAGGGAAGCTCATTCCATAGCCGGATGGTACGTGGCAAAAAACTGTTTTTTTTACCGTTACAAAATTAAATTTACTTTTATTTAATTAAGTTACTGTTTAAACTGTTACAAAATGTACTACTGTTCATTCGTATACTCGTGCGTGGTGGTCTCTCATCGCTATTCTTGTCGCGCTGCCGGGCTGGACCTTGCCAGTCACCGGTTTGACCCCGGCTTCGGTTACAATAGACTATAAACAAAGAAAGATTAATCGGTTCGGGAAAAATACCTTGATTTTAATGTTTCTACCGTTAGCTGTCATACATACACGACAAGGAGAGAACATGGCGGGGTAGCCATCATGGAAGGTTGCGGAGTATTTGAATAAAAATAAAGCTATTGCAAAACATTTTTATCAACTTATGCAATTACAATTAGACAATAATAATTTAATATTAAAACAATAATAAAAATAAGACCACGCTATATTTATAAACATTAACAAAAGCAAAACATTACCTGTCCCCTTCACACTCATAAGCTAGAACGCGTGGGAGAGAGATGGGCAGACTTTTCATTATGTTTGTGCAGTCCGACGTCACACCGCGCGCTTATTCACAAACACTACACCAGCGCAACGTGTGAATGTGTTGAACGCGAACTACATAGTAGGCGTAGTGGGGGTGTCTGGTTATTTTCGTTACGGAATTTCTTGATTCAGTCGCTGCGCTCAAGGCCCGCGATAGCAGCTATACAATAGCTTAATAATAAAGGCGATATTAATCCGTGAAAATACTTTAATCGTGCTTAAGGCACGCGAAGCCGCGAAATCATTTCATTTAATGACTCTGATTTTATTTCTCAATTTTTTGTCATTCGATCCACAGGCTACAACAGATTTTTTTTATCGATTGCACTTTTAATGGATTGTGGCAGTAACCATCAAAGAACGAAGTCGTCGTGGCCTAAGGGATAAGACGTCCGGTGCATTCGTGTTGAGCGATGCACCGGTGTTCGAATCTCAGGCGGGTACCAATTTTTGTAATGAAATACGTACTCAACAAAATGTTCACGACTGACTTCTACGGTGAAGGAATAACATCATGTAATAAAAATCAAACCCGTAAAATTATAATTTGCGTAATTACTGGTGGCAGGACCTCTTGTGAATCCGCACGGGTAAGTACCACCACCCTGCCTATTTCTGCCGTGAAGCAGTAATGCGTTTCGGTTTGAAGGGTGGGGCAGCCGTTGTAACTATAATGAGACCTTAGAACTTATCTCTCAAGGTGGGTGGCGCATTTACGTTATCTATCGGCTCCGGTAACCACTTAACACCAGGTGGGCCGTGAGTCAGCCCATCCAACCCATCTAAGCAATAAAAATAAAAAATAAAAGATGCCTAAATATTGCTTACGCCATTTTGAAAAGTTTGTATACACCCAAAAAACGTATATATAAAGATCTCTTTTTTTTGTTAAATATCGTGAAGGAAGTTATTGTACCGAAATAGATTGGCATTTTTGATAGTCTGGTTCTCCCGCCCTTCGAACGCACTAGCATTTTGGTTTTGCCGCTGATCTTGTCAGGACAGCGATGCATACGGGTTGATAAATGTAGGATCTACTGAAAACTCCCAGAATCTTCCTCCCATCCTTGAATCCCTAAGTCGATTTTTACGACAACCACGGGGGAGCCGAGGATGCTGTTGTTTTAGGCCGAAAGCTTACAGTTGTACCCGATAAATCGCTGCACAACTACCACCACATACCACCCTTTGTTTCTCCATCTGTTTACTGCAAGCCCCCAACATTCTAAAGGGCTTCTGACCGCTAATTAATTAATTAAATATGGATGAATCGTTCGCCATTTAAAATAACAACAAAAACGCCACGGATTGATCCGAGAATCTATTTAGAAACCCAGCTATGTAGCATGAATGCTTCGTGGCGGATATGGATGGGATCACAGGATGGGATAGTGGTACCTATCCGACTAGGTCCAGAGTATTTTCTACTATGTATTTATTCACTTAAATTAGAATTTTTTTCGCGTGCAAAACGATATGATAGTAGTCGTTGTTATATTTTTCCACCTGGAAAGGCAAAGGTATCATACCATACAGCCTAATCTGTTGAGTCTGATTTTTTATGAAAAATTAAGGAGTGAAATGAAGTTGATTAATTTGAGACATCAATTGACATGAAATTAAATTAAGATTAGTTGATATGGAATGAAATATAACCTCAGTAAAGTGGTGGTTATTTATTAAAACTTTTTCATTGGACTTTTTGGAAGATTCCAAGAAGCTACGTCCAAGGGCTTTGATTCATTTTCCTACATTTCTGCACTTTCACAGATACTAAACAGTTAATAAACCACCGTTATTACACATTTAAACCTGAAGATGCACTAAATAGACAAAATAAAATAATTCACATAACTTCGCTCCTCGCGCTCCCGCCAAAAAGTCGCAAAACGATTTGTATACCGTTTGAGGTATTTAAATTACGTACGCTGGCAACATTACGTAATTATTACAACATGGCCGACGGTTTGAATTTCCGCCATATTAGAAGCCGATGACAGGTCAGGGTCACAGTGCAAGCGAGTTACGGTAGTTTCATTACTTAATACCAAACATTCGAATTGTTTTGATTGCATTTTTATACTTGAAATTTATTTGAAACATTATTTCGTTGTTTAATGTCATCGTATAAGTGCCGATGAGCTCATGTCGCAAATAATGTTGCAATTAAATATTAAAGGCCACTGTAACGACAATCGACATTCGGGTAATAAAATACAAATCAACAAAATTATAATTTGCATAATTACTGGTGGTAGGACGTCTTATGTATCTACATAGGTAGGTATCACTAACCTGCCTATTTGAGCTATTAAGCAGTGATGCGACTCGGCTCGAAGGGTAGGCCAGCCGTTTACTGTAAAAAACTCAGATCTTAGAACCCATCATGGGTGGAGGCATTTACCAGGTGAGCTGTGAGCTCATCCACCTATCTAAACAATTTAAAAAACAAACGATAGCTTACAGAAATGATAATGTCTGATTACCAACCGGAGTAAATGTAGAGACATTGCAAGAGCTGCAATGCTGTTAATAGAAATAATTGTGTTATACTGAGACCTTAGAACTTATATCTCAAGGTGGGTGGCAGCATTTACGTTGTAGATGTCCATAGGCTACAGTAATCACTTAACATCAGGTTGGCCGTGAGCTCGTCCACCCACCTGAGCAATAAAAATAAATAAGAACAGTGGCCACTAAATATGATCAATGTGATACCACTACTCTGTAGAGAGAATACGGCCGTAAAGAAGATCAATGTGATGTTACACCTTTCTTTCTGTAGAGAGTATAATATAAAAATAAATAATAGTTTAAAAAAACTAACAAAATACGCTTTTATAGAAAATTTAAAAAAAAAAAAAAATAGAAAATAAATTTTAATAAATTTGAATTAAAAATATTGTAAGAAAAAAATGGAAAAAACCATGTTCAAAGATTCCGTTACCAACATACATACGTCTGAAGCTAATAAAAGCGTATTAATAAATATTACTAAGATACTTATCTCGGGCAGCCGGCGCCGGTTGGTGTTTCAGCAACGTCTTACGGAACACGAGGCAACAATGAACAGTTTGACCATGTAATACATACACGCGCGCTGTTTGACTGTGAACTTTAAAGACACGGTGGCTACTGACAAATATTTACTGTAACTTCAGCTCGATAGATCATGCATTCTAAAATCGTTCATAATCGTAATAAATTTTAGTAGTTAGCTCGGATGATACGCAATGCAATAACAAAATGCCGGTAACGAGAAAGACAATAACAACCGGTCTCAAATTCAAATTTACAGGTTTTTTTATCGCAAAATCAATGTGGCTATAAAGGTTTTTTACTGGCGGTAGGACCTCTTGTGAGTCCGTGCGGGCAGGTACCACCATCCTGCCTATTTCTACCGTGAAGCAGTAATGCGTTTCGGTTCGAAGGGTGGGGCAGCTGTTGTAACTATACTTGAGACCTTAGAACTTATATCTCAAGGTGGGTTGCGCATTTACGTCGTAGACATCCATAGGCTCCAGTAAGCAATAAAAAAAAGGTTCAGAAAAATTTAAAAAAAACTATTAGCAATGTGTAACAGGAATATATTTTTAATGCTGTTTCAATTTGTACAGACCGACCATTTTTTTAAATTTTTTTTTAACGCTGCGGAATCCATTTTCGTATACCCGGTCGAGAGGGGTAATAGACCGGGTTATATCGGACTCCGGCGCCTCCAGAGAAGAAGAGGGAGAAGAGGAAGACCAAAGTCCTCCTCTTCTTCCAATTCCTACCGGGAGACTACGCCTTGAGAAAGGCGCGTGAGGCGCTGCGCGTACAGACCGACCCTACTGTCTTATTTAAACTGTAAATAGTTCCTAATCCTTAAAATGCACAAGTTGTAATGTTCTGTTATGTAAATAGTATCGTAACCGCTACAGACGAACAATTTCATGTATCCACATAATATATTATTATGTACGTATCATGTTGTTACTGGTTCTCGTATTTAAAAAGGAATTTTATTTAGATTATTCTGCTTAGCTCGGATTTCGTCAACAAAGGAACAATTTCTCTTTTCAATAACAAATATCCATCCACCACCAAAATGAATCAACGTCCATAAAATGTTTTATTCCCTACCTAATCGCTAATAGTCTAAGGGGCTATTTCAACTATGCCCGGACGAGTAAGTGAGCTTACGGGCTCAACCTGAGAGAATTTGCTAACACTAGCCCTAGCAAGAGCAGTGCTTCGCAGAATCTACCACCGGATGGGAAGATCCGGCGAGAAACTCAGCGGATTAATGGAATGAATCGTTCAGTACACAGCCTCCAAATACATATTTTCTTAATATACATATACTAGCTTTTGCCCGCGACTCCGTCCGCGTGGAATTGTTACCTTGGCATAACGCTAAGTTTTACACCCCACTTCATTTACGTAGAAAGTGAAAATATTTTGAAACATTCTTTATTGGTGCTCCACTTGTATTGGTTTTACCATGATGTTGCCTTCGTCAATAAATGGACTATCTAATACTGAAAGAATTTCAATCAAATCGGACTAGTAGTTTCTGAGATTAGCGCGTACAAACAAACAAACTCCTCAGCTTTATATATTAGTATAAATTTTATTTCATACAATGTATTTCATTGTTACAGCTCAAGACTTTACAAGATGTCGACAGAAAGATCCTAAGCTGAACGATTGCTTGAAGTCAGCCGTGCCTGATGCTTTGAAGAGAATGAAACAAGGTTCATATACCATAGTCCGTAATTCACTTCTAAAGAGTAACAAATCACAAAAATTTTGTTATAATATCACGAACTTTAATTAGTCGTTGTGTTTTGATTATGTGCTGTTTGTCGTAACAATTATAGTAATTATACTATAGACGCTCTCTTTGGAAACTATTTGTAAAATGGCTAGGATAATACGTATATAAGTATTATAAATTATTCTCCTGGATATTACAAACTATATCAGCTGTTTGTTTCTATTCCTATATTTTGTTTCATCAAAATTCAAATCACAACGCTGTGCAAATTTACGAGTTTATCGGATTCTTTCCAACTATTAAAAATCACGTTGGAATATCAATTTAAACAGGTAAAACTATTAATACCGTGTTAAAAATATGTAACAATGAACTAAAATTTGCCAGGTATTAGTTCGCTGTCCGTGCCACAGATGGAGCCACTGCACGTGTCCGGCATGAACATAGACTCCGGCGCCGGCCCGGTCGTTATCACGCAAAACTACAAGAATATTAAAATACATGGATTGACCGATTCCGTGCTCACTACATACAAGTAACTACTTATTTTAATGAAATAATTAAAGAACAATTCACATTTATTTGCTCCTAAAACTGATTAATAATATTATCGCTAACTCATTTCTAATACAACATTTTTAATTGTTTTAAGTTGATCTCTTTGCAAACATTAAACCTATCAATATTGGACTAATGATACTTGTTGCGCCATCTCTCGACGGAGGGTCGCATATAATTATCATTCGAGTTCATTAACTATTAAAACGTAATTTGCTTTAAATAAAATTTGTTTCCAGAGCGGACCTAAAACATTACCGCCTAAAGACAGATTCAATTACGCCGAAAATGGAGTTCATAGCGGACTATGTCATGAACGGGAGAATATTGGTCCTGCCGATACAAGGAAAGGGTATCGCTAACATCACAATGGGTACGAATTCTTTTTCTGTGTCATAAATCCTTTTGAAGCTAGCGTGAGTGGCAAAATTAAATGTAATAGTAATTTCATATAACGGTTTTCAAGTCAGAGCGATAATAGCGACTTTGACTTCATGTTTGTCATGTCAATAAGTGTGGTGACGTGCCTTTCATATCCATAAGCTCCGCTGGCCGCTTAGCCCCAGGTCAACTCTAAACTGGTTCAGAACCGCAGCAGGATTTCTAGAATGATGTACCTAACCGTACAGGATATCAAATGTCTTATGGTCAGAAGTAAATTTAGGGCAGTAATTAAAGACATTACTTAGTATATACTTTGTATATACCACACTAGTACAACGAAAAACGATTATCAATAAAAACACTTTATTTTTATAATTAATGGTGGTAGGACCTCTTGTGAGTCCGCATGGGTAGGTACCCCCACCCTGCCTATTTCTGCCGTGAAGCAGTAATGCGTTTTGGCTTAAAGGGTGGGGAAGCGGTTGTACTGTTAAAAGTAAGACCTTACAACTCATGTCTCAGAGTGGGTGGCGGCATTTACATTGTAGATGTCTATGGGCTCCGGTAGCCACTTAACGTCAGTAAAAAACTCGTTCCAGTGAACTTGGTGGTCAAGCACGACCTCATCGGAGAGCCGATTCTTAGGGACGGATCGGTCTACATGCACATACGCGACTACAAAGTGAAGTTTATACCGAAGAAGGTCGTTTTACATTTTACGAACTTGTTCAACGGCGACAAGAGACTCGGAGATCAGATGAACTTGTAAGTTGGCATCAATTGTTTGAATGGAATCTTGATTTACAATAATTAATCGTAAGAAAACTTTGTTGTTGTTATAGAGATATTGTATTGAAATTTTGTTTCGAATCTTGTTTCATAGATGGCGCTATATGTTTAACTGTTATACTTAATGTTACTACTGAGAACTAAGGCTACTTTTATTCACAGGTTTTTGAATCAAAATTCCGAACTTGTCTTCAACGAGCTCAAAGATTCGTACGAGAAAGCTCTAAGCTCTGTGTTTCAAGACGTAACCAATAAAATATTCGACAAGGTACCGATGAAAGACATATTCCTGGAAGACTAATAAATAATTTTAAAAAATTGCAATAACATTTACATTACTGTAGTATTTATTGATTTAAGATAAAGATTTAGGATGCTTTAAATAGACATTTTATAATAATAAAACGTGTTTTAAAGTGTGACTTTTTATTTGTTATGACAAAATTGACAAAATTTAGAACAGCGCCCTCTTTTGGCGATGTTATAACTTAATAATTTCTATGAACTCGTGGTACATCGGCCGTACCTTGATATACCCGTAAATTTGATGAATTAAAAAGACTGTTTGGTGGTCTTCTTTCATTCAGTTCGACGTCAGGCGGATCTTCGTTGTCTAGTCGACGTGCATTCTTCATACATGAGGCTTTGCAGAACGCTTCGTTGACCAAGATAACTATAGTGACCAACAGATGGCGCTTTTATCAATATTCAATAATTGTAATAATGGACAATAACATTTTATACTTCACACAGCTTAGTGTTTAATTATAATCTCAAACACAGATTGCAAGTACATTTTAAAAGTAAAAAAAGTAATTATGACACAGAGAAAATATTAACTTTATCCATTTTATTAATTAATCAAACAAACTTACGCAAGCCAACCAGGAGGAAATACAAAATCAATCCTAAGATTACAGCATCTGCTTCCACAGTCATTATCTGAAACCGTAGGATTATTATGCAAATTGGTTAAAGTGTGCACTTAAACAAGAGTCATTGACTATATTAGTTGTGGTACGTTGTGTAATCAGCCCGCATGAGTCAGTAACACCATCATATTATGTCCACCGTGAAGCAGTTACTAATACAATTATTGGGAGTTCTACCCACTATGCCAATTTGGGAGCAATTCTTTTATTTTATTGCTTTAATGGTTGGACGAGCTCACAGCCCACCTGGTATTAAGTAGTTATCGGAGCCCATAGACATCTACAATGTAAATGCACCACTCACCTTGAGATATAAGTTCTAAGGTCTCAGTAAAGTTACAACGGCTGCCCTACCCTTCAAACCGAAACGGATTACTGCTTCACGGCAGAAATAGGCAGGGGAGTGGTACCTACCCGAGCGGACTCACAAGAGGTCCTACCACGAGTAATAAAATAAAAAATTCACATTGTTCCTGTCTATGGTCGCCTGATATGATGTCTAAGGTACGGTTGATGTCCCCGTGAATGAAAACACCGAAGCAGTTGATAGCTGACAATGACTTCCCTCTAGACCATACATTCGGCGCGTCAACTGTGTTTTGAACATACCCGATCCTGTAGACCGAATGGTAAACAGTCATTACCCGTCACTTGCCGTCGCAAGGGTTTGACGAGTGAATTAACCCTCAGACACAGCCCACTGAATTTCTCGTCGGATCTTCTCAGTGGATCGCGTTTTCGATCCGGTAGTTTGGTACGGTTTGTACACACCTAACTTAACACCTAATACATTAAGGCGCAATTATTTTATTATATTCTTGTATAGCAGTGCACTTAGCAACACGTACCTACTCGTTAACACGCTACCATTTGTACTTAACTAATATAATAAAGGTCCTCAAACAACATACTCTTTTGGAACTTTTTTTTTTATGATTGAAAGATTACTGGTGGCCCGGAGGCCTTTCCAGCTTCACCAGGACAGGTGGGCGAGCAAAGGCTCAGCCAGGAGGGGTCACCAAAAAGAGTGCGATGGCCGGGAATCGAACCCGGATCAACTGCTTGGAAGGCAACTGTGCTGACCATTACACCACCACTACAAACTTCCCCTTGGACCCTAACAAGTAGATTCCGCAAAGCACTGCTCTTGCTAGGGCCAGTGTTAGCAACACTCCGGTTTGAGTCCCGTGAAGCTGAAATAGCCTCTCAAGGCTATCAGCATAGGTGGGAGAAGAAATAATGTATTTTGATTCCGGGGAATGGTAAAATTAGCAGTTAAATGAATTACGTTAAAATCAGTTGCAGCACGTAAATGACAGTCGAATGGTTATCTTGTAGCGTGCAACACTCGGTCGCACTCGGGCGTCATCGGATGCGATCGGAGTTCCCGAACGCGCAGGTGTCCCGTGACGTCATACTGCGAGATTCGCGCGCGTCGATTTAAGTTGATTGTTTAAAACGTATTATAATTTTAGTTTTAATTTGTGCCTTGTAGTGCCTAGCGACTTGTTTACTCTTTTTACTTTACAATAGAACATTGTACACATATATTATTATATTGTTGAATTGGTGTGTTTGACTTTTATGTGTTCGGAGCATAATATCCCGAGAATACGAATAACAAACCACAATCTCAACGGCGCCGCGTTATGCCAACTCTGTATTAAGCAATGTTCGTAACAGTCCGCTCAGCACGTAGACCTCCTGGTGGCTCTGATCAGCCCCCTGATGGAGAGGTATGCAGCGAAGAGTATCAGCAAGAAGAATGCGGTTTCCCAGAAATGCGCGACCAGGATCCGTGCTGACATCGTTATTTAAGATCACTAAACACAAAATTCAATGCATCTTAGTTTTGGATTGACTTTGACAGTCCTTCTGTGACATAGGGACTGTGTAGATTAATTGACAAATTAAAACAAAAATGCCTGTCAATTCGATAGATGAGATAGATTTGTAGGTTAATATTTCTTGTGTATTTAAAGAAGTAAAACCTATTTTGAATAAATACACTAGAAACCGTGTCTCGTGTCAGGCTTATTTCGTAAAAGTAATATGTGATAACATTGATTTTAAATCCTCGCCCGATAACTCACGTACTTTTAGCTGTTTTGTTGAAAAGCCTCTGAAAAGACATCAGGCTGAAGTAATAATTTAATGATTATATCGTGAATCTTGAATACATTCAAGATTCGTTTCCCACATTTTCCAATGTTTATATTTTTTTCAATAAAGCTTTTTAAATATTTCTCGAAGAAAATACTAACCCGCTCTTTTAGACAAAAAGGTTATCTATATATATAAAAATGAATTGCTGTTCGTTAGTCTCACTAAAACTCGAAAACGGCAGGGCCGATTTGGCTAATTTTGATCTTGAATTATCTGTGGAAGTCTAGAGAAGGTTTAAAAGGCAGATAAATATCACAATGCTCGGAATTAAATAAAAATAACAATTTTGTTTTCCCTTTGATGTGTCCCCCGTCGAACAGATTCCTTTTGTTTGTTTTAAGTTTATTTTATACAAAAGCTTAGGTCTTTTGTTTATCGATTGAGGTACAACGAAGTCTACCGAATCAGCTAGTAATATATATTTTTTTAATAGGCACAATAGGTACAATATACATATTTTTTTAAAGGTACAAATAAGTAAGAAAAATTTAAATAAGCCATTGATTCTGAAATCACGACCTTACACTCGAATATAATTTATTTAATAGAGAAAGAAATCACAATTTTAAGTGAAACTGCATATTCTGCAGACATTCTTTACACACGAGGTCGCTAACCAGGTGCTAATTCAATAAATCTACTGCAATTTCTAACTTCTAACGCTTTCGTTTTCATATCGGGCGGCGCGATTATTTCGCGTTACTGTAGGTTTTTTTTATTGCCCTTGTAGGCAGACAAGCATACGGCCCACTTGATGATCAGTGGTTACCCGTCGCCCATGGACTTCAGCAATGACAGGGGGAGAGCCAAACCGCTGCCTACCGTTAAATACTCTCCACAAGCTTCGTTTGAAGAAGGACATGTCATAGCGCTCGGGAAACACCGTGGAGGGGAGCTCATTCCAAAGTCGGATGGTACGTGGCAAAAAAGATCTGTGGAAACGCACTGTGGATGAACGCAGTGGCTCCAGGTAGTACGGAGGAACTCTACTCCGGTGGCGGGCGGTGCGATGGTAAAAACGAGATGATGGAATCATCTCAAGCAATTCCTCAGAGCATTCCCCACAGAGTATTAAACTTTGTCCTTTTTTGAAATCTCTAGATCTATGATCGAGCTAATGGCTCGCCAAGCGTTAAGTGGTTACGATTGAATGTCCCTACTGATCTTAAGCTATTGTCGTGCTCTGAATTATATGGATGCTATGCCATTCTTCGAACCGAAGTCTACACTCCACTGTGAGCTAGTGAGCATCTGCACTCCCTTATTTATACTAAGGAGGATTTATAAGTCATACATCACGTGTTTGTTGTAGATGGCTATTATCCAGTTTCTTTGGGGCCTTGTATTATTATACTAAGTTTGTAGATCTCAGAATAATTTTACTGACTTTATACAACCTGAATTCTCACTTAGAGGTATGATCTTTTTTTTATTGCTTAGCTATGTCGACGATCTCGCGGCCCACCTGATGTTTAGTGGTTACCGGAGCCCATAGACATCTACAACATAAATGCCGCCACCCACCTTGAGATATGAGTTCTAAGGTCTCAGTTTGTACAATACAACGACTGCCTTCAAAGAGAAACGTTATGCTTTGTTTGTTTTATTTAATTTTTATTTCAACGTGACCAGAGGCGCGTCTGTTGTCTGTGGACCTCCTCCTAGCACCGTATTCCTCAGTGCTGAATGTCGTGACCTTTACGGCGCCCTTTTCTTTGAAATATATTCCTCCATTCTTTCCTGACCTCTGCACAGACTCTGCCTCTCGCAACCTCTGCATTTCCTTCTGTGACCCTAACAAACGTAACTATACTTGAGACCTTAGAACTTATATCTCAAGGTGGTGGCGCATTAACGTTGTGGATGTCTATGGGCTCCAGTAATCACTTAACACCAGGTAGGCTGTGAGCTCATCCACCCATCTAAGCAAAAAAAAATGTAATAACAACAAACGATAATGAGTTTTTAAATCATTTATTCAGTGAAATAAAACAATTCTATGGCATAATCACTGGTAACATTAAATCGATTTATAATTAACTTAAAATTAATCACTTAGCCTCTAGATTAGGCGTAAAGGTAAAATAAAATTTGCGTATACAATTTAAGTGTGTATTTTCGGTTTTAGTCCGAGTTCAGAAGTCGTCCAGTTTGTTACACTTGTCGAACCTGGACACTTTTGTTACTGAACCTCACTTTAGAGCCAAGTTCCAAGCTCTCCAATGTCACAAAATTAACCCTTAATAATTAAAATTAACTATAAGTTATTTCTGAAAATTAACCTAAGTTTTTTTTTTGTAATTACGTCACATAATATTTTCTTCTTC